CCAAAGGTGGCTTCAATAATAGATCCGTTACAAATCATTTCATGGGGGATTTCAATAATATCCATTCCTAAATGAAAACTGCTATCAAGTTTGCCATCTCCAAGTTTTACTAAACATTCACTATAAGCAGAATCCTCTGATCTCATATTTGTTTTAAGAGACAACTTTCTAAAACATCCCCAATCATCACAGTACTTTGAACTTGAGTGTACTATGGCCGATCGCATGGCATGTGGTACACTACTGCGGCATTGTCGAAAATCCCCTCTGAGAAGGAGAATTTCCAAAACAAATGCAACATTCAAATTCATAATTTCTCTTAGTAATCTATCTATAGCGATTATAGCATGACTGGATGCCATGGTGCATTCACCAATAATAAGTTGGGCCTTTTTAATGGTTTTAGAAGCTTCATTCTTTATATCAAGTCTAGAAATTAAAGTTTCATTGAATGGAATGGGTAATTTATATGTGGAATGAAAGGTTCTTCCACCAAGAAGTACATTTGCAGCAATTCCTGTAGATGTTGTGGGCAAAACAGTAACACCACAACCTCTAATATAATGTGTTAAAACTTTATACAGATATGTTTTTTCACTACCACCTGGACCATCCAAGAAAAAGCATTTGGGGTGTACAGTTTGCTCTTTGATGGCTGAAGTTATAGTCTGAAAGGCTGCCAACTGTTCATCATTCAGAAAATTTGTCAAAACCTCTGCCTGTTGTTGCTCATACAATTTATCACATGTATTTGCATTCATTAATAAAGGATAGTCCGGAAGTTTGAAATGTGAACATTTCATTCCATGCAATGTGAATACCTCCTGAATTTCGTTAAGGGCATGCATTTCACAGTTCACACAGGCACCTTCTCTTCAGTGTAATTTCCAACAGAAATCTTCAATAAAATGAGATTTATTCTCATCCTATAATTTGTCTGAGCAGAAGGACATCCAAACACACATATGCATGCAAAAAGTTGCCGTAGTTGTTTGGGCATATTAAGGATGATTGCATAGTCAGTCGTATCTTTCCAGATACTGTTGTCAAGTAATAATCCTCGGTGTTTAGCAGCTTCATGACCACACACAGCCTTTGGGCTTAATGCCAACCTGCGACCTCCCTTGCAGTCCTGCCCGGTGCAGGATGTTTGATCCCCCGCCTATTGGCGCAGATGTTCTAAACTCCACAGATGATTGGCTTGAAGAAATGGGCTCATATTTACCAAACACTGCGGGCAAAAAGGCTAGCAGAGAATTGAGAAACCAGTATTCTGATCCTCCCTCTTGCCAGGCCTTAATATGTGAACGTGTTATTTCTACCTCTGAATGGACAGTACTCGCCTCAACTGGGCTGTACAGGAACTTGGACGTCTTTTTTTTTTCCTATTTCAGTTGTCATGCAATATGATATTAGTTTCAGGAGTACAACAATACTGATTGGGCATTTATGTAACTTACCTAGTGATCACACAATTAAATCTAGTACCCATCTGACACCATACTTACCTATTATAATGTTATTGACTTTCCTGTATGCTCTACTTTACTTCCTCTTGACTGTTTTTATAAGTGGCAATTTTTTAAATATATATTTTTATAGATTTCAGAGAGGAAGGGGGAGGGAGAGAGAGACAAAAACATCAATGATGAGAATCATTGATTGGCTGTCTCCTGCACACCCACTACTGGGGATCACCCGCAATCCAGGCTTGTGCCCTGACTGGGCATCGAAGCTGGGACTCTGAGTCCAAAAGTGGATGCTCTATCCACTGAGCCAAACCACATAGGGCTATAACTGGCAATTTGTACTTAATTTCTTCACCTTTTCCCTGAACCCCCTTCCATCTGGCAACCGACCATTTGTTCTCTATGTGATTTTGTTTCCGTTTTGCTTGTTCATTCGTTTTGTAAATCCCC